ACAATTACTTCAGGCCTTAACACAAGTTTATATATTCCTTAAATAAAAGGAGGAAAAAACGCATAGTTGGCTGAATAAAGTTAACCACACAATTTTTTTAACATGTTGACAAACAATTTTTCAACAAGTTGCGTGCCGTTGCAGCAAGCTTTATCACCATTTTATTTAAAACTGCATAGAACCACATCTAATACATAACAAGTCTAAAGAAACTTGTCCACTTTTCAAACATCTCGCCTTTCTGTAAAAACTTCTTCAAACTATTATATGTACGACTCCAAAACTATTATTCGAATATCAGCTGTGTGCAAAGAATCGTTTATTGGATCCAACACATAGTCATGCTAATCTATTTTGATTGAAAATATAAATCAAACGAGGAAAGAATCTATTTGACTTTGGCTTTCAATGCGATAAACGAAAGAAGTATTCAAAATGAATACGCAGTCTTTACATATAAAATCACAGATGTACGGCATTTTTTTTTTTTTAAATCATAGAAGTTTGCTTCGGGAAATTACGTAAAGTGGTTTTTTATAAAATCCAACAAATGGGTCAAAGAAACTAAATTATAGCGTGAAATGTAAGAATTAGTAAAGTTTCTTTTGTCAAGTTTACATATTACTTTTCGAGGGTCGAGGTTGTGTATCTACGTTTCCCCACGAGAGCTAGCTAGGTTTTTGTATTATGAATTCGGTAACCCGACTTTTCCATAATTGATTCGAATTATCCCGATTTTTCAGATATACTTAATTAAAAAAATCTAGCTAGCTCTCGTGGGGATATAAGGAATAGATAATTATCCGAATTATCCGTTTAAGTAATTATATAAAAAAAAAATTAGCAAAAAATATTAATAAATTGTTGAAACTAGTTAATATTACTAAATATTTCATAAAACCATCCCAAAATGCCCAAATTTATCCAAAAAATTATAATACTATTCATAATTATTCGTTCGATAATAATTTTAATTACTAAAAAATCTGTTACAATAGTGATTTTACCTAACCGAATTACTTTATTC